TGCAATAGCTCATATAGATCATGCTGATGGCTACAGGAAAAAATAAAACCAAAACTCCACCAAAACACCTTTGGGTTTAGTCCTAAATCCACAACCTCCATGTCACCAAATGAGGCATGCCTTTTTAGTACAGAACCCTTAGGCTCTTGAAGTGTCCCTCCTATAAGAAGGCAGAAAGCAGGGTGGGGAAGACAAGGCTGTTGGGGAACACACTGCAGCCGTCAGCGATTAAAAAGACTCAAACTGGTATTACTTTGAGACTTGATATTTTCACTTCACTGGGGTCACAACAATAACAGCATCACCTCACTTGGAGATTTAAGACATCTAGTTTTCAGTTTGCAGATGCTAAAACATCTAACCGATGATGATTCCCATCAACACCTAGGATATTTTATGTCATATAATTTCAAAGACTGAAGAGTCTGTGCTTGGTGAGATTCTCCATGGATTTTTAGATCTAAAACAACATCACATTACAGGTCATGTTTGCTCTCATATCACACCTGCAAGGTTAGAAGTCATGGGATAAAACCATGATCCTTTTTATACTGGGGCCTCTGGGACCTTCATTATAAGGGTAGCAGTGTCCTCTTATCCCTAGGACTCAGAAAGAAAAGACAAGAGTTTGATGAGATATTAGAAATCTGTTAAGAGTCCTGGGCGTCCACCAACAAGGGAGCAAATCTGACTGAAAAGCATCTTAAGACACTTAAGACTTGAATGAGAAAAAAAAGGGCATCTTCAGTGGGGAGGGAATATTTTGGTTCTGAAGTTCTGAACACATTCCTGTGTCTCAGCTGAGCAACTGGCAAGGGAAGAAAGAAGGAGAGCGAGGACAGAGGGAGGTGACAGAGAACTCATTAAGAACTCTGCCTAACAAATAGACAGGCTGTAGGGTTTTGGTGTTCAAAGTGCAGCCCATGGACCATCAGCGAAAGCTTCACGGGAAAGCTTATTAAAAAAGCAGAATCTCAGGCCCCAACCCAGACCCACTGAATCAGAATCCGCATTTTATCAAGTCCTTAGTTGATTCATATGCAATTAAAGCCTCAGAAGCATGAAGCTAACACATGTCTGAATTGGGAATTTGGTTGAACTCTGGGAAGATTTCTGCTAATGGGACTTTGGGCATCGCTGATTTGTTGTGTTTTCATTAACAGTGGATTTGAATATTAGAACAAAACAACTAACTCTGCTGCCTCTGATTGGAAATGTCGGAGGCCCTTGCTTAGTACAGCAACACTTTTACTGAGGACTCTGTGCCTTTGTAACATGATCATTCAACAGGCTGGCTTTAAGTGTTGCATAACAGACAGAGCCATGGTCAGGAGTCAGCCATCGAGCGTCTAGTTCCACTTCACAGTTCTGCGATGTTAGACAGGCTACTTCCGCTCTGGGCCAAACTCTGTGAACTCCCAAAACTGTAGTCCAAGCAAGAAGTTTGGGCTCAAAGCATTTGGGGATAAGCTGGCTGAGAGCTAAGCCTCTTGACATGTCTAGGACTGAGTGCCAGCTCTGCTTGAGACTGGCACTCTTCTCATCCCTCTCCATACTGTTAACCTAAAAAATCTCCCAGCAGATGATTTCTGCAAAGAGCCAGCATACTGCTTCCTATCTAAACAGCAACTCAATAAAGTTACTGTTATTAGTAATTTATTATTACTATTGATATTATTTTGCCTTTCTGCAAATCCCTTGTTAAACTGTTACTCTGTTAGGGAATATGATGGATGAATAAAATATGATGGTGCTTTTAATAATCAGAAAATAACAACAAAATTAAACATTGTCAACCACTCAGAAAGGACAAAGTAGAAAGGAAGAAATGTGAAGATGTGAATACAGGTAACAGATGGTGAAAACAGAGAAGGGCAAGTGCCTGTGGGACTCTGTGGAAGGATGACCTAATGGGTCACAGTGGATGCTGTAAGTGCCACGCATCACATGTACTGATAAACCGCAGAGTCACGCTTCAGCTGCTCTGTGACCTGCCTCGCACCCTCCACTGCATTTAAAGTCCCTAAATCAACAAGGGGATGAAGCAGGGCTGCTGTCAACAGCTATGGTCAGAGTTCACTTTGATCTATCAGTGTCTGCACCTGTCTGGTGGGTGCCCAGGGCATATTAGTTATTAGATGCTTACACCTCCAGAAACAAAATCTCCAGTAAATGCTCCAAAAGCGTTTGTAGCTAGCCAAATACAAATCAGGATTTTTATTCATTTCATGAATGTGTTCACTTGTTCAACCACTACTTATTGACTGCTTGTTATAAACCAGCCTTGTGCTGGGCACTTGGGTACAGGGCAAACTGTTATCAAAGAGCTCACGAGGCAGTATGTCAGGGCAGTGGATGTGGATTTGAGTATCTCAGCATTAGGTAGACTTGGATCAATGGGAATCACGTATTCAGCATCTTCATCTGATGCTCGGGCTCCGATCAATTTCCTGTACAGCCCAGCACCGAGGAAGGTATGCTTTTGTTCAGTTATTTGCTCTCCCACGCATGCTCCAGATTTGTAATGGCTAATGTACCCCATCTAAGGAGATTTATTTTCTTCATCACCTACAGTCCTACTTGACTTCCATAGTCACTTCAACCTGTGTGCTTTAAAAGTGAGAAGAGAACTATATGAAGTCAGCAAAGGCAGAGACAAGTCAGGATGTCATTAATTAGGACAGCCATGTTCTCCAATTTCATGACATTAGAAAAGATTCATCTTTTGGAACATGTTTTATCCAACAGCTTAAGATATTGTTACCGTGTACTACTGAGTCAACCAAAAGGTCCCTCTCCTTTGCTGTCATCAAATAGATCTAATTGTAAAAATGCTTAAAGATTTCTCAGTCAGAATCTTAAACTGGGTCAACACTTCCCAATCACAGGCAAGACTATCCAGCTATTATTTTGTATTTATTCTAAAAACAAATTTAAATTATTTTAACACTTCTTTATCAGGTATAGTTCTAGCCATTAATTATTTCTACCTATATATAGCTCCCCTTTTCTTTTCTGATAACAAAAACCCTTCTTTCCTTTGGAAACTGTATCTTTGTCATTCCAGTGCTTGTCAGTAGATGAAGCAGACTTCAACCATCTGCTGCAGGGATATCTCATAAAGAAGGGTGATCCAATTAAAATCACAGGCCATTGAGTATAAGGTTGTCTGGTTCATCAGGACCTTTAACATTGAGGACCAAAAGATCTTGGAATTACCAGGGGCCACCTTTTGTCACCAAGGACTCAATATGGAGGGGAGCAGAGCCAAGAAATACAAAGAAAGGCCAATTGCTTAAGAAATTGGTTGAACCCCTGGGTCCAGCAGCTTGGGAGACTGGTTCTCAGGGAGCAGACACTGAGACAGAGTTTAGGGCAAAACAATTTGATCACTGATCAACACTTGTGAAAGAAAGGAGGCAAGGACAGGACTGGGAAGATGAAGAAGTTGAACTGTGATGTGGTTCAACAAAGCCTTGGACATCCTGGAAGGAAGCTCTGGAAGGGCTGCCCAATCAGAATTGTCTGGAGTTGGGCAGAAATGACTGATCCCTTATATTCCTGCCTTGATCAGTCGCCAGATGTGGGCTGCCCCAGTTAGGGTAATAGTATGGGCAAGTGGTTCTTGACAGCTGAGGCAGATCTGGAAGTTGCTGAGAGCCTAGAGACAATGAGTTGAACCCACTACCCACAGTGATGCCACCAAGTCCTTCTGGGAGGCATATCTCTTACAGCTCAGATATGCCTCAGACAGTGTCAACCTTACAGCTCTTCTAGAAGCCACTTGATCATTCCAGTTATATGAGCCAGTGAACTGCCTATGTTCTTCAAGCCAGTTTGAACTCAGTTACTTTATTTGCAATCAAGAGACTCTACACTTCCCTTCAAAGTAAAGTTCCTCTGGAACATCAAGATTCCAGTAAAGTATACACTATTGAAACAGGTTGGGAGTCTGATTTAAACCCATACCAACAAACATGATGGCAATCATGTCTGCTAATCAAGCCCCAAATCTGCAGTCTCCAGCTGGCTTATACATTTGAAGTGATCAGATACTGATGATTGGAAATGTGTGTTTTATTGGGCTGAGGGTTTTGTGATTAAAACTGACATGTCACAGGCGGAAAAGGACTTTGGTTTGTATGTCATGGAACAAATGAAGTTCAGCATATTTTCATTTGAGTAAGCTTTACTGTGATGGGAAAAAGACTTGTCAGTTTTGCCTCTGGTCAGAAAGATTCTCTCTAACCCATTTATGGCACTGTGATGTTCATCCTCTCAATAACACAGTGTGTGTGCTTTTCTGAGAACAGTGATTTATATATTAATAATGCCCTCTTTGTTCCTACAAGTGACCAAGTTTGCAATAGTGTGCATGAGGGGAGGAAAATCAAACCAACACTCCTCCAGGCTCAGATTGGGAAACAATGCTTATTAAATTATTTTTCTATGTGCTGAAGTTCATTTTCACTCTGGGTAGCTATTTTATGAAGCATCTGAATTTTTAGAAATATTTCACTTTATACTATGTAGCATAAATTTGCAGTCCCAACACCCCAATGAAAATAATGTGACTATACACACATGCATTATTCATATATGCATTTGTATATATTAATAAGCACGTATAAGCATGTGTTTGAGAGAGAGAGAGAAATCACAAAGACTCCGATGTATGTCAAGGTTTGAAACCAAGAGACAAATGATAATGGTGTAAGGATAAAGCACTGTTCAGCACCATTTGGTATTTCAAATTAAGTCCATCTCTCTTGCCTTTAGAACCCTCCTTGTTGGAATGAGTAAATAATGTTCAGGAACTTCTGTGAATGGACCATCTTTCGTAGAGTTTCTCATATTCCAACACAGCTGACAGAATCCTATGCTTGGGTTATCAAGTTTCTCAGGGCAATTTAGGGAAGCAATAACAGTACATACGCTGTGGGTCTTGCCCTGAAACTTACTCAGTAAATATAAAAAAATAAAACCAGAGCACTTCTTACCTCCAGAGTGAGGTGGAGGTCCACAGAGTAGGACGACTCCCTGGCCTTCACGCACTGACACTGTACTTCTCATTTTGGTTTTAAAATTTTCAAGATCTGATTTGAAAACAAAACAAAAAGACATTTCAGAAAGGATAATCAAATTAAAATGTTCGCAGAGAGACATTCCTTACTTCCACAGGATAATTCTAAAACATCCCTTGTCAGGAATCTCAGGAGGAGAATATTTGCTTTGAGAAGGAAAAGTAGGATTTTGGTATATGTATTAAGGCTTCCAGAAAGTCAGCAGTACAATAAAAATATATACCCACTAATCCTCTGTTCTGTAATGTCAGAGATGTCATGTGGGCTCTCCAAAATGGCAAAGTATATATATTAGAATTAAATAACCAGGCAGTATGTCTTAAAGAAGGAAATGAATTTTCTTTAACAAGAAAATATATTTAAACTGGTACCTACATTTGCCAGTGATTCAACAAATCATGAAGACTTTTAACTTCACCTTTTAATTACAGCCTACTATTCATAAATATCTCTCCTAAAATATTTTATCATAAGTAGCCTAAATAAGTCTTATTCTACCTATAGTTATTGTTGTTATTTACAAGCACTGTTGAAAATATTCAGCTTCTGTCTATATGCTTTCTTTGTTCTTGAAGGGTTCTGTAGAAGATGTGTATTTCTGGAAATTACCAAGTAAGTAACATTCAAAGGATAACAGTAAATTAAATCCACATATTCCTTTTTATTTGTAGCTGTGAAAAAAAACAAATTGTTTTTATAATTGCCCAAAGAATTTTTTTCAAGTGTTGAATAAAGCAATCAAGGCAAATACTATTTTGATCACCAGCAGTTATATTTTTTAAAAACATTTCACTTCTTCCAATAACAATCCAGGACAACAAATTCTGATTCACACTCTCCAGCTTAAATTATAGCATGGAGGAAAATTATATTTGTTTCATTTTGAACAAAGTTTAAGCCTATGGGGAGAAAGGAAGAAAAAAAGCTATAATATAGAAAATAAAACTTATGAATACCACAGTTAATATACTCAATGGTATCACGTTCTGTATGAGAACAATTGCCTTGCCAATTTGGGAAAGAATGTGCTCATATCATAGCTCTTAAGGGTTGATATAAATTGCCTATATAGTAACTATAAAGTGAGGCGGTGTGTACATTAGAATAAAAGTTGAAAAATTTCAAATCTGCTTTAAAAAATGTAAAAAGCAAACTAATTATCTTTACATTGATAAAACTACAAACTATAGGCACTTATGAATATTCTAAGCACCTTAAATCAATACATCAGAGGGAAATAAGAAGGGCTATGTACTTCATTTCATTGTTATTGGCAAACAGTATTCCACTGCTAGGTTATAAGCATGGAATAAAGCTATTCAGGAAAACTTACTATATTTGCCCATAAAAGAAGAAAAAGTAGTGTTTATGGGCTTATTTTAACCAGATGTTACTCTGCACAAATATGATAGCATAGCAGTATATCATTTTAAATGTGTAACTAAAAGGCAACATTATCAAATCATTAAAGCTCTTGAAGTGTAACTGAGTTGGAACTGTAAGACTGTACCATCCAAATGTTTTCCAGTGACTAAATAGAGAAGTACATCATATCAGAATGTAGCCTATGCATGAAAAAAAACTGAAATGGTTATTTTTTGACAGCCAATTATGTATCAGCATTGTTGATTGCCTACCCAGTTTTTGTTTTCTTCTGCTACATAACTTCACACCATAGAGGTTATTCATCACTGATTTTTAACTAAAGTATTCAAAAACAGTTAAAATAGTTACACAGAAATAATGTCTCAGTCTCTTTTGCTTAAGTACTAATACTTCCTGGCATAGATTTGTCCATTGCTCAAGATATTTGCATTGTTACTATCTCCACAGTATATGAAAGCAAGAAGCATTATTTTTGGACACCTGAGATGGCCAGTTCATGGAGCATATGCTTCAGGGACAGCAAAGAAAAATAATTGTAGTGGCTTTAATGTGTTTTCCAAGACTCTGTTGCTAGCAAAGCACTGTGATTACAATGGATTTTTTTTCCTTCTATGAAGCAGGATCTCCAGAATTCTTAATTTATGTTGCTCGAAGTGTGGTCCAGGACTACAGGCATCATTATCACATAGGTTGTTTGTTACAAATGTAAGTATTTTCGAGTTACTTGAAACTACTGAGTCAGAATTAGATTAGCATTTTTAACAAGCTTACTACCTGAAGCTATGCACGCCAAATATACTAGTTCAACCAGGATGAAATATCTTTAAACCGTATCTCAAACTTTTTGGAGCACATGAAAGTGCTTATGAGATAAAGAATCTTGAATATCCATCAGCGTGAAGGATGGAAAAGGCATCAGTGACTTAGTAAACAAGAAAGCCTACAGAACTTCAGTCTACTGCATGCCAGATTCTGAAAGTAAAAATCATATGAATCATTGGGGTCTCCTTTCAAGCTGAGCCCTGTCTAGATAAAGACACACTTGGGACCAACAGGAAGAACCTTGATCTTATGGTTGTAAGTGCATAGGAAGGAACACACATAACCTAGAGATGTAAGATACCTTAAAAGAGCAGAAGCTGGCAGAATGAATAGAGAATGGTGGTGGCGGTTAGTGATGGTAGTATTGGTGGTGGTGGGGTGTGTGTGTGTATATGTGTGTGTGTGTGTTTGTCAGGAGATTGTTTTTCCAGAGACAGGCAGCAACAAAGGAAAAGCACAGATGCAGAAGAACATCTGTCATGTCAAGATTTCCTCTCTTTTTCAGGAGCACTAGGAACTAGAGAGATAAAAGTACTATAAATTTTCCAAAATGTTTTAGATTACTGAGATATCTACTGGAAGTTATATGGGAAATCCCAATTCAACTCAAGACTGCAGATAAACCCATTCTTTGCAAGAATTGTATTAGAAAACATTCTGTTTGGGACCCAGAATAAATAAAAAGCAATTCCAGAATATATTGGGTAGGAACTTCTCAGATTTTTCTTTTTGACTCTTCTATAATTTTCACAAACTCTGGTATTATTCTGCAGCTTCTAGTTTAAACACAACTTTAAAAACAAGCCAAAATGACAAAAAGCATGTATGAAGTAGTACAAATAACATCATATTTCATGGTGAAAGACTGAATGCTTTCCCCCTCACATCAAGAATATGACAAGGATGTCCATTCTCACCACTCTTAGTCAATATAGAACTAGAAGTTCTGACTACTTCATTAATTAAATAAATAAATAAAAAGCATATAGTTTGGGAAGGAAGAAATAAAATTACCCGACTTGTAGATGACATGTCAAAATAGAAAATCAGAAGCAACCTACTGAAAATGACGAAACAAACAAAAACCCTTCTTTTACAAATAAGTGAGTTAAACAGACCACAGGATACGATTTCTGAATACTAATATTGAACAGGAAGAAACCAGAATAAAAAACAAAATGACTTCAATCATTCCAAAGAAAATGAAGTACTTAGATATGCAGGTAATAAAACACACAATGGAATTCTACATACTGAAGATGACAAGATAGTGGTATAAAAATAAAATGTAAGTAAATGGTGAGACATACTGTGATGATGGACTATAGGACTCAATACAATGTCAATTCTCCCCAAATTGATAGATAGGCTTAATGAAATTACTACCAAAATTCAACAATTTAAAGAATTCATTTTACTTTTATCATCTATATATACAGTCACTCTTATTCTAAAATAATTATATTAAAAACACAGGCCTTAAAATAGCTAAGAGAATCCTGTACAAGAAGAATAAAGTGGGCAGAATCACTCTATCCAATATTAAGGCTGATTGTATAACTGCAATAATCAAGACAGTGTGGTATTAGAAAAGGGGGAGATACACAAACCAATGGGACAAAATAGAGAACTCGAAATAGATCCATGCAAATATGCTCAACAGATTTTTGACAAAGGTACAGAAACAACTGAATGGAAGGAAAGTCTTCAACAAATAGAGCCAGAACAACTGGAAAGCCGTAGGCAAAAAAATGAACCTGACTTCACTCATACATAAAAATTAACTCCAAATGGACCATGAATTTAAGTGTAAAACAAAACAACAACAAATGAAAACTATACAACTTCTACAGAAAAATAAAGGAGGACATCATTGGGATCTAGAGCTAGGCAGAGTTTTTGACAATAAAATACTTAACAAATGCCTGGACTACTAAGAAAAGATTGAAAAACCAGACTTGATCAAAATTAAAAACTTTTGCCTTGTGAAAGCCCACATGAAGAGAATGAAAAGATAAGCTACAGGCTGTGAGAAAATATTTGCAAACTGTTTATCCAGTAAAGGAATAGTTTCTAGAAAAATTAGTAAAAACTCAGTAGTAAAAAATAAAATATCCAATTAGAAATTGGGCAAAAAACATGAACAGGATATATAGATGGCAAATAAGGACAAGAAAAAATGTTCAATGTCATCAGTCATCAGGGAAATACAAATTAAAACCACAATGAGGTATCACTGCCCACCTATCGTAATAGCTAAAGTAATGAAAGCCAACAGCTAAACCCTGGAAGGGATGTGGAGAAACTATATCATTCATACTTCTGGTGGAATGCAAAATGTTACAGCCACTCTGAGAAACACTTTGGACAATTCTTTAAAAACTAAACACACAACTATCATAGCCCCCAGCAATTGCACACTTGGGCATTTATCCAGGGAAATAAAAACATATGTTCATGCAAAAACCTGCACACAAAAGTTTATACACTTTATTTGCTATAATTTTGAACTGGAAACAACCCAGATGTCCCCTAACAGGTAAAAGGTTAAACAAACAGTGGTTACATATATACTGCGGAATATTCCCCAGCAATAAAAAGCAATGAACTATTGATATGCCCCACAACTTGGACGAATGTTCAGAGAATTATGCTAAGTGAAAAAGGCAATCTTGAGAGATTGAACGTGGTATGATTACATTTATATAATATTTTTAAATTAAAAATCCTTAGACATAGAGCACAGGTCAGTGGTTGCTAGTTTAGGAAGGTGGCGACAGAGATGTGGGTGTGGTTATAAAGGG